AATTTTTTTTTTTTTTTTTTAATGTCATGCTCCTAGATTATAATATTACCGAAAATTTTGCGACATGCGTGAAAGCTGAATATATAATATAATAGAATCCATGGGTGTAATTTTTTAATTTTTCCTCCATGTGGGTTTTTTTCTTTTCGATTTTGAAATTTTAATTCTTTTTGGCAGGAAGATCCGTTCATAGCTTCAGCTAAGCTCTCTACGTAGTTTCCCAATTCACTGTCCAGTACAGTCTTCTTTCACTTCTATGTTTGTTTGTATTTTCAGTGTATGGATAAAGAAAGTAAAACAGAGCTTAACTATAAAAATATATGTGTACTGACACCTATACTACATCCAATATGGTATTTCAGTGTTGTGTATCCTCCTATATCTAATCTGGCATCACATAATAAAAATACTCGTCCTCATATATTTGTATGATTGGAGTATGTCAAACTAGTTTGTTTTAGAAGAAAAAAAAATTAAACGGGACGGGTTGAAAACTGAAAAAATAACTATGCGGGGCGGGGCAGGTTGAAATTTTTGTGGGTTTTGCCAAACCCGCCCTGCTCCGCCCCACTGCCATCCCTAAATGCAATGCACACTTGATAGTTAGTTTGTATGTCGGTAACAACTGATATATACTTTATCAATATTTATATTTGGTTAATGCATGAAATTAGTGTACTTACGTTGTTAAGTTACTTTCCAACTTGTTGGTGTACTTTCTTTCATTCTTGATGATTTTTGTAGACTCTAGCTTGATATTAAATTGAATCTCCTCTAATTATTTTCTAATTTTTGTTCCTTTATAAGTTCAATTGTTACTGAGAATTATGAGTATCTCACTCCATAGCTTGAAATCTAACTTTGATTCTTAAGGCGTGATTTGGCGATAATTACTCATTGCTCAAATGCTTAAAGCAGAATAAAAAAATATGGTGCAATGAATACTCGTCAACAAAGGCTCGTTGGAGGAAGAAATACCTCGATAACTACCTTAAGACTTCATAATTGTCAACCTAATAAGATGCTATAAACATTCACGTCATGGTGGAAAAAATCATGGTGAATACTCGGCACAATTCTGCATAGTGGGAAAAAACAAAGAGAAAAGCTAGAATTTTTTTTTGTAAAGGTAGAATATAATAAACATACAAAGGATATTAAAAGAATAGTGACTCAATATATAAATGAATATATGATTGTCAATATTTTTATGTCTTTCACGTCTTAAGTTAAACAAATAACTACGAAGAAGATGACTAATCTATAAGGAAGAAGTGCAGTAAATAAAAAAGATTTAACGGGTTATTAATGAGTTTTTTAAAATAAAAAAAAAAAATTGATGGCTTTCCGTTAGGTGAAGGCTATTTTTTAAAAAGTTTGGCTAACGGTAAGAGTAGATGTGACCCCGATAGTATAACGGAGGGTAGATATGAATAATATACTAAAATAGATGGATATATTTGGCCCTTTTCCCTTAAAAAAAATCGCTTTTGACCTTGGAGATGCTTGGTCAAACATGCTATTAGTTACTATATAACAATATCTCAATTTTTTTTGTGTGTGTGTGGCGGGG